CTCAGTCGATGGTTAGTAAGTTTTAATTTGATCAACCTTTTTTGTTGTTTTAAAGTAAAGTTGCGTTATTCATTCAAACAATTCATTTCACTTTTGATATCATCTGGACAAAACTTGAACATTATTTTTTATAAGACACAAGCTTTTCAGGATATAATTTTTGAAAAACGGATGATATGATAAAGACAATTATATAATTATGCTTAATTATATTTTGAATTGGAGAGCATCCTTTATTCTATATATCCGGTAGTGGTAGAATGTATTATATGTAATGTATTTGATTGTTCCTATGGGTGGCATTAATTGTAGGAAATTATGCAGATTGCTGCTTGCATCTTATTTTGTACCTCCCAGTAGTGAAACGTATTATCAATCTTTATTCTATTTGATATTAGGGACAAAGAGTGGAAAGAATTGTATACTCCTATCACAGTTACAATATAATCAAAGCTTCAGGAATCCCAATGGAAACTAAATCATATTATTTTGTATACAGATTATATGCTTTTCCGTGTGAGACCTCCCCAAGTCTATGAACGTGTTGTAACAATGCCGACGAAACAGTGTTATACATTTGTGTGCAATGTGATTATATAAAATCGCTGTAGAATATTATATTTAGAAAATTGGGAACTTCCTTAATATTCCCGAAAATATTTCAGTAAAACAGGTAATTTTAGGTACTATATTACCTTTTCTAAATTGCTAAACCATATCATACTATGAGGTTATTACGAGAATACCTCAATGTATGCATGAAGACAGTACAGCGTAGCGGAGGTCAATGCCGGCATACTGTCTGAGTGCATACTTTGAGGTATTCTCGTAATAACCTTGTTATTATACATCTTTTCCTTCCAAGGATACATCATGGGAATGGGAAAAAAAATAGAATCAGCGAACTTCATTGTGTGGAGTCTGGTCAAACCCCGTTGGCAGCCATGTTTGTTTTTATTATTTGAGGACGCTTACACGTAATCATTTCATATTTGGAATTTGCATTTCCTTATATAATAGGATGAAAATACCCCATAAAATGCCGCAAAATTACGGCACGCAGTAACTGATGGCGTTACGGTGACAGATGTATAATAATAATTATTATTATTATTAAACAAACGATATATGAGAGCAAGTTAAAGTGTAACCTGCCTACATTTAATATGATGAAGGCAAATGTTTTTGGCACAAACAAAATATTAATTGAAAAATTAATACTAAACAAGAATCCTGAGAATGCATCATATGCAAAAAAGTGGGAGATTTTTCATTGTTAACATTGTACCTGTAATTTTAATTGAATACACATTATGTAATATAATATGATCTTATTTTATTTGAAGTAAACCACGTCTTTGAATAAATGTATTTGATTGTATGTAGAGAAACCAACAATTAATGTGCCGTATTATTAACTCAAGTTTACTTTGTTAGCGTTGAACACATGTACATTTAATTTAACACATACACATACGTAATGTAACATGATCTTCCACATAATTATGAGTTCATATTTCGGTTTAGGGTGATTATTCGATTCATAAATTGTTACCAGAAGTCGCATCACAGAGATGGGTCTTTTCATAGTTTTAACACCATACAAATGGAAATAGTTGGAGAACTCTGACATTCTCGTAAATACATAGTAATAACATATTGGCGTTTTGGTTTTTTTTTTGTTACTTGGATTTATATGATACTTAGGTCATACGTATATTTGTATAAGAAGAACAATCGAAAAAAAGTAATATGCGTCCTTAAGTACGACACTTTCTGAAACAATATAGTAAGAACTTGTCGGTGCCTACTGACCATGCCTAGTACAATACAACGTACTAGTAATTGTTGCTTAAAGGCGTTTATATGAATGAGGATGAATACCGGATAGAAACCTTTCTGAATTTCGGAAGAATGCAAAATGACATTACATACAAAACCGAGACGAATTGTTGATTTCGGGTGACCATTCTTGCAAACTAACTCTGGGAGTGAAAATTTCGAAATGCATGTGCGGATTCCCTACTCGCTGTTCCAGTCATAAAAAAAACACATCTCTTATTTAAAGCGGGAGGGTCGTCACCTGCACAAGCGCGGGAATTGAGTCCCAAGCGACGATAACAACACATGCTAAAAACGCAAAGGTTCATGGGTAGACGCTTGTTGGTAAACAATGACACGCTATGGCCATCTGACGCATGCGCATGTGACGACTCCCCCGCTTTAAACACATATAACTAACCACTGGCAACACAAGTGTTCCTACCAATACAATTCACTTTACGTGTTTTCATAACATTATTGTGATTACGTTTTAGCCAATAACAAATACGGCACTTATAGTATAAACGGCACAAAGTCACTTGAATTCACCAAGCACAGCCTCCCTATTAATTACATTGCTGTAACACCTAGTGGAAATAAAAAAACGAACTCTCGATTCCTTCACAGTGTCGGTAACCCTATATGCTGATTGCAATGTCGTAAAAACTGCCTGGAATGTACTAGTAGTTAAAATTACTTGGAAAGTTGAAAATGTATAAGTTGGTTAGAAAGACGTCATTGTTGACTGAACATAGATTATGTAAGAGATTTTCATATGAATAACCCATACAACGTGGAAACTTTAATCACATGACAAGTCGCACGCCACCAACGTCCTGATTTGTGAAATCAAAATAAATGTAGTACATATTTTTTTATTTTTAAGTAAGTCTCCAGTGATAGTTGGCTAGAAAGTCGTAAAGTGTGCCTGCAATGTCACAAATGTTAGTTAGAAAAGTTGTTTGGAATGAATCGAATGTTTCTCTGTTAAATCATCAAAGGTTAAGCAGTAAATTGTTAAAGTTGATTGAAAAAGTTCATCAAAGCGTACAAAACCCGGTTGGAAAATTGAAAAATATAGTTGGAATGTCCAAAAATAGCCGTGAAAATAAAATAAATAGGTTGGAGGAAAATGAACGACAAAAGTTCAACCTCGGAGCTTTCACAGGTGTAGACCTGACAGACACGCACATACACGTCTTACCATCGTTGTAACAACACACATGGGATTAACTTTTAATATAGTTCAACTAACTTTTAATATAGTTGTGTTATGATTGGTTTAAAACGTGACTCTATGTGGGTTGCGTTTTAATTGGAAGTTAATCAAACCCAATTACAATGAAATTCAACATACAATTGCATTTTAATTCAAGTTCAATTAACATGAACATGTTTGCGAAGCTTAGGATCAGTAAAATAGTGATGGTCGTCACTTGGTAGGCGTAAAGTTAAATGAAAATCGTCAAAACGTTGACACCACAAACGCGCTGGAATTCAATGTCGGTCATTTCCATCAAGACTGTTTTTATTATTTATTCTATGATTTGTTCATGTCAGATCATGAATATTCATAAGGTGGTCGTTATACAGATTTTGCGTATACAGCCCACCTGCCTCAATTTCAGTATACAAAATTGTATAAAAAAAAATTAATCCAATTTCCGAAAAGCCAACGTTGACTTTTGATAGCTCCCGGCAACTAAATAATATGAGGTTATTACGAGGATAACTCAAAGTATGCACAAAGACAGTACAGCTGGAGTATGTGATGCGACGGTGTACTGTCCTTATTATTATACATCTTTTCCTTCCAAGGATACATCTAGTGAATTGTCATGAATTTGTTTTTGCGTATCTGTTAACCGACTTAATTAGTTGATTACGAGCGAATTGCTGTGTTATGTCTGTCATCGTTCAGGCCTATTTGAAGTTTTGGACGGAACTTGGCTCAGTGATTTGGAACTAATTACCAGATAACCGCCGCTTTTTAGACTACTCATTCTGACAGTTTATATTCATAGTTATTAATGTAGTGAACGATTAATCAAAAGATATGACGTATTCAGTACTTAGTGTGATAGGCTTTATGATTGAAGGTTACGCCCTAGTGTCTTTTTACTCTTTTGTAATTGGTTAGAGTTTTGAAAATGAATAAAGAGAGTTTGAGTTGGTTTTGGGGAGCACAGCACGATAGACGCAGTAGAGAGAGTGCAGTCTGAGAGTCGAGAGTCCAGTCCAGGGGCGAGCCTTGAGGCAGTCCAGTCTTGGGCGAGTCTTGGTTCAGCCTTCAAGTTGTGAGAGTCTTGGGGACTTTTCCCCAGGGCGCTGTGTCTTATAGAGTGCTCGATTGACCGACTAAGACGAGAGCTGAAACGTATTTCGTTGTGTGTGCCTTATTTGACTGTAAAGTATAAGTGACATTCCCGATCCCGTACCTCAAGGGGACGCGATAGAGAGACGAGACGAGATTCCCCCCTGACACGTGTGGAGACCCCGAGAGAAGAGATTTTCCCCCTGATAGAATGCCGAAATCCAAAACGTTTAGAACAGAATCAGCAAACTTCTTTGTGTGGAAACCGGCCAAACCCTGGTGGCAGCCATGTTTGTTTTTATTATTAGAGGACGCTTTCGCGCGTAATCATTCCATATTTGGAATTCGCATTTCCTAATATGGTAGGATGAAAATACCCCGTAAAATACTGCAAAATTACGGCACGCTGTAACTCTTACGGTGAAAGATGTATAATAATAAATTATTAGTTTGTTATCATTGCTAATTAATGTATATTCTACGTTGTATTCATTTCTATGTTGATTATTGATAGCTCCGGACAATTGAATAACTCATGCTATTGTATTATTATGATTCATGTATTGACTATTTTCTGCTTCAACAAACTAAATAATACGTTCTCATGTCGATACTCATTCATACATACTAAATGCAAATATTTTAGCACCCATTGCTGTATTAAGTGTAATAACTCCCACCAAACCATTGATAATAACAAACACCCTAAATGTTAACGCGTTCTTCATCTAAAATAGTCACACCGGGTAATGGTTTTATTTTATTTAAACTCTGGATAGTTATGTTATTTAAGTGTACTTTACAATACAGCCTAATGCCGACGAATCATTGGAAATGAAGCAAACAACCTGACCGGATTGGAATGAAACATAGCTATTATACAGTGAAC